TTTTTTACCAGTAACTATTTGTAAACAACTAGTAAAAACCTAATGAATTATAATCTTTAATGATTACGTTTTGTAACCTTAGAAATTGTCAAGTAAATTAAATCAATAAATATAAATTGGTATAAAAAGTACTCTCATAAATTCTTTTTAATAATTTTTTTTTCATCTGTATACTTTTAAATACATATGCTTGAAGTTTTTATTTTTTATTTAATTTAATAAAACCTTTCTTTAAATATTCTTAACTTAAGGAATAAAGGTATTTTTGCAAGTTTATGTATTTGCGTTAACTTAACATTGCTTTTATCAATGCGGCCCGCAAAGCGTGCAAAACTTAAAAAAATGACGACTCTGCCAACTAAATTTTATTTTATTATAATATTTATTCTCTATTAGATTACCAACACACAGGTATGAGAAATAAGTAACTTTTAGACGTGGAAACTTTTGAACTTTAAAATTTTGCATGTTTTTAAATATGTCAAATGAGAAAGTTAAAACAAGAACAAAAATGGTGCGTAACATTACTGGGTGAGAACAAGCCCGTCTTGTAGCCATTTCAGTCTCCTTCGCTCACACTTAAAACTGTACGTAAACACAGTTTTTGCTTTACGTAATAAATAACTGCATTAAGCCAGTATTTGAAGTAATTATAAAAAGGTAAACCAAAGAAAAAGTAAAAGCAAGTTCTAGAAAACAAAGATCCGATTATCCAAAGCTTTTTCTGTGGATTACCTTGTAATAATTACTTCATATAAGTAGAATTCTATCATAAGTTTTCTATAAGAGTTCTAACATAATTCTAACGTATCTATTTGGTCACCGTTACCAATACCAATTAAAGTAGAAACGAAGCTTTGAAATGCAGACATTCATTTGAAAAATAAATGTCTGTATTGAGTAAATCTTTAAGTTCCAGGGCGATTTGATCGAAACAGAATCCATATCTGAAAAACGGACAATAAATTCAAAACATGGAATAATTGAGCATAATCTTTATTATGTTTATCAAGTTCAGCTAAAGGTCTGAGGTTAATATTACGAAGTTAATATCATTTCTTCTCATTCAGTCTTACGCCGCAATAAACCTTATTGTTAACTTTTGTGCGTTCTTTTTCATTTATGGTCAGCAGAATACTTGCTCACCAATGTCATTAGCTTTTTTTTCAAATATTTTAAAACATAATCTGACTTCTTGAATGATAACAGACTAAGAGATACACAGTTCATTTACCACTGTTAACCTGATTTCAACAACTCGATGCATTTTTTTCACTTTGTTAAACCTTTCCATAATTGTGGTCATGATGACTATCATGATGGTTGTCTCGAGCTGATCCATTTTCCTGAGAAGTCTACTAGCTTCTTCGTTCGTTTTTGGCTATTGAGTTTTGTCATTGTTCATTTCTTTTAAGGCTACTTTGAAGTTTAATCGCATATCTCAACGATACAAGTGTTATTGCCTCTTGTCATCTAATATCGTTTTAACAAGATTAAGCATATCGATTGCTCTGTGGCTTCTCATTGAAATGAATGATAAAAAGCGTTCAAATGGTTTTCCTTTTGGCATTAAATACCAAACAATAAAAATGAGTTATTCTACATGCAAAACGTCTGTATTTAAATCAACGAGGAGCAATGTATGAATAATTTTTTCAATTCAATAACTGTAGGAAATAAATTCGGCAATATAAAAAAAATTTTAAACTAGTAAATTTTTCTAAAGCAATTTCAAAATGGATCAAATAAAAGTATAAAAGCGATTTATAAATACCAAATGTTTGTAAAAGCGAGTTGCCAAATTGCTTGATGAACTTTTTGCAATCGTTTGCTGGTAGATAGGAAGTGCTACCTTTATCTAAGTTTACTTGAGGTTTATATGTTTAGCTCGAGTTGTATTTAGCAAGGAACTCTAATAAGCCAAGGAAATTTCTACTATGACGAGGTCCAATTTTCTGATCTGTTCTAACTCTCTGATCAGGACTGGGGTCAAAGACATTTGATCAAATACAGATACGCAAATTTTAGATTTTCAAACACAAAATTAAATATAAATATATGCAATTGGTATTTTCCAAATACAAAATACAAATATTTGTACTTTAGGTTAGAAAAAAAATATAAAGATTTTTTCATGACAAGACTGATAAAATAATCTAATAAAGAGAAGAATGAAAACAAGTCTTCTAACAAATATCCCTTAAAAATAAATTTGTAACTTATTTCAGTAATTAAAAATACATATTTGACCCCAACCCTGCCTCTGATGCGTCACGCGTAAAAAAAAAGAGCTTTTTGTTAACCCAGTGGACACGGACGTAAAATAGACGTCTTTTAAACGTCTTATAAACGTTTTGGACATCTTTGAACGTCTTTTGAATGTTTTGGACGTCTTTTGAACGTTCAAAAGACGTCTTTTTTTGGTTCGGTGCCCACTGGGAATAGGCCAACAAAAATATGTTTTTTTTCCAATTTTCTTTTTCCCTCTGAAACTGTTTCA